TATTATATTAATTTGATTAACAAATCATTCAATTAATAAGTTAATAAGTCATTTTGAAATTTGTAGTATTCTATAATATTTTATTATATTAATTTAATTAACACATAACCCTAGTAGCACAAAATATTGAATACATGTGTATTTAATATTAAAATTTAAAATTAATAATTGAATTAATAGTAAAATAATAAAATAATAAAAAAATACACACATGTATTCAATATTTTGTGCTACTAGGGAATATTCAATGAAAATTATTGTTATGTAATATCTGTTAGTTTAAATTTAAAATATTGAAAATCCTAATGTCGTTTATTGGTTACAAATATTTATTCTCAACCCCTTGTTTAGAATCAGTTAGTTAAATCAGTTCAGTATAGTCAGTTATTTATACCATTCTTTATTTATTACGATCATCTGTATACATTCGATCTTTGCCCCTAGTATTTGATAAAGAAAATACTCTAGACTTGAAATACTTTATCGGTTTTATTAATGAAGAAAGATTGAAACAAGTAGGACATTTATTAACTGTTATATTGAATCTCTTCTTTTAAACGAATTCTTTTTATTAAACGAATGAGCAAAAAAAAGTTGAATAAAAATATTACTATGACAATTTCATTGAAAGAAATCGTAATCTTGCCATTGATAATTACAGTAGTAAAATCCGATAATGAATGAATCGAAATGAATGAATTATATCATTAAAAAGTTACTTAATATTTTAGTGCAATTAAACGAGAGAGTATCGTTTATAATTTTATGACACTTGAACATTTATTCGTACCTTTCAATTAGTTATGAAAAATTAGAAAGATAAAACAGTAAAAAAAAAAAAAAAATCATAAAATTCAATGAAATTTAAATACGCTAATAAAGTTTTATTTCAATAAACAAATAATTAACAAGAGAACTAACTTAAAAATTTAAACTTAACTTAAAAAGAAAACAAATGGTATTATTCTAAACGTTATTTCTTTTCTTTCATTATAGAAAATAAAAGAAAAGTTAGAAGGAATTTTGTCATAATTAACTATCTATTTCTCTGTGTTGAAAAAGACACCATTTTTCATGATTTACACAGGCAGAATAGCAATCGGTAGTTTATGCGTGATGAGGATACATCCATCATCATACTCATTCAACGAAAGTATGCATGCATGCATGCATGCTGCTGCTGCTGCTGTTCCACGAGCATGCTCGTCGCCTCCACTTAAGAGGTTAAAACCATATACGCTTTTAAAGAGTATACTGTTCTGTTCTTCTCTCTGGTAAATATCGAGTGTCCGCAAGGCAGATATACGTATTTACGTTGAAAATACAGGCTGTTAAAGCTACTGTAAAACGAAGTATATAATAAGTTGAATCAAGAGTCTATACTTTTTTTTTAAAATTAATATTTCACTTCCATACTAAATCTGACAAAAATTGCAGTATCTCAAACAACAGAATAAACCAACGAACTTTGGGTTTAGTCTATTTATTAGTATATTTAGTATATTATGTTCATTATTTTTTTTTCTGTTTCAGTTAGAAAATTAATATTTCACTTCCATACTAAATCTGACAAATATTGCAGTATCTTAAACAACACAATAAACTCTCACGAACTTTTGGTTCACCCTAA